ATTTAGGATAAATCAATTCTTAACAATTTTGTATTATAAATTGAGAGAAAATGATTTCAATTAATAGATTTCAATATTTTACTGCCTAATATTGAACTCAAGAATACTTAATATTATTTCTGTTTTGAAGAATCATTTTGAAAAGATTCTGTCCTGAAAAATGGTTCACGTCTGTTAAACCACAAGGAAAAGCAAACATGTTGTCATGAAAGACATAAAGACAGAGGTTTATCCCCCTTTTAGAGTTTGTCCTCAATTCAGAAATTCATATCTGTACTAGACAGAAATAACCGAAGTCATAAAATGTCAATAAATGTTGTTTCTAGATCAAAAGGATTAATAGGATAAAAATTGCTTCTCTTAATCATCAGACAGGTTTAATATATTTCTAATTAAACTTCCAGTAATATTTCTTGGGTAATTATCAATATAATTCTAAAAATAAAGTTATAAGAGTAAACTGGAGAATATATAATAAAATAAACACAATACAAACAGTAATAGATCTCAATATGATAATGACATGCATTAAACAGCTGTAAAATTGCATTATTTATTCAACAAATCAACGAGCAGAGCAAAGAAATAGGATAAATACACTGCAGTACACCATATAAGTCCTGAAAACTTAACATACAATCAAGGAATATCAGAACATTATATAAAATAAATTGATTATTCAGATAATATGGGTAGGAAAAAATGACAACCTATTTAAAATTTCATATTTGTATTTGTAATGTTTATCACACAAAAAAACAAATTAAAAGTGCAAAGATAACTTAAAATCTACTTAAATATAAGTAAATAAATCATTTCTGGATGGGAATGATTTTCTAATTAAATAGCTACAATGGAAAAGTGAAAAGAAAATGTGTTACATGTTTTTCCCGAAAAACAATTAGTTATGTGTATAAAATTTAAATAGTCATAATTTAGAAGATAGTAACAACAGGATATATACAGCGCTTACCAGGTACCAGGCATTGGGCTCTGTGTTTACCAGAATCAACATCATTAACTTTAACAAGAGCATGGAAAGGTAGATTTTACTATTTCCCCCTCTTTTCTGGATTAGAAAGTTAAAGATTTAAGTTAAACAACTCTCTTCCAAGGATATAGAGCCATAAAGTATTAAGACATGAAATCTAAACTCATATAGTGTGATTTCAGAGCTTACAACTTGAGCCACTATACTAGACCCCCAGCAAATATTTTGACTCCTTCTAAATTTAATAATTTACATTTCTAGGAATCTAAGAACATAACCAGAGGTAGGATCAAATATATATTTATAAGAATATAAATCAAGGGTTACTGAAATGTTAAATAATAAATAACAACATAATCCATGATATACAAATATGATTAAATGTTATTCACCAATGCAGCACAGCATCAACAACTAAGTGGTATTTGCTAAACCCTATGCTAGGAGTTAAGGATTAAATGAAAGATAAGACATAGGCCTACTATAAAGGAGCTTGCAGTCTGGTGGTGGGGAGATGCAAATAAATAACTAGATATACTGAGTAAAGTATGGTAAGTTTAATTACGTATCTAAGAAAGCATACATAAAATAATGGCAATGTGCCTATTTTGGTCGGGAATCAAAGGAAAGCTTCCTAGAAGTGAAGACTAACATAAAATTTTACGATTTAATAGAGAATAATGAATAAAATCAAGCAAACAAGATATACATTTGAGTATAAACTATTATTTAAATGTATGAATATACACATGTGTGCACATGTGTTAGCTTATAAAAAAAAAAAAAAAAAGATTCGGTCTTGTACAGTCATGAGTTCCTTAACACTGGGGATTCGTTCCGAGAAATGCATCATTGTGGGAACATCATATAGTGCACTTAAGCAAACCTAGATGGTGTAGCCTTTTGCTCCTAGGCTACAAAACTGTACAGCATGTTACTCTATTAAATACTGTAGGCAATTGTAACGCAACGGTATTTGTGTCTGTAAACATATCTAAACATAGAAAAGGTACAATCAAATATTGGAATTATAATCTTATGGGACTGTAGTCATATTTGCAGTCTGTCTTTGACTGAAATGTCATTTTGGAGTGCATGACTGTGTTATATAATCTCTCAGTATGGTTGTGAATAATTTTATTGTATTTTTAATGTTTTTAATAATTTTCTCTATTTCTCAATATATTCACAAATTTAATTATATATAATAGGTATGACATTTATAATCAGAAGAAAACTCCTAATATATTAAATACATTGCTTAAACTAACAACAAAACACAAATTCATATCCTACTAACTGATAAAAATGTTTTCAGTGTTGAGTAAGCAGGTTGCATTTTGAGTCAGGTACGAAAAGTACATTTGAAATAATAAAAGATTAACACACACAGCTGACTGCCTTAGGTACTGACTGAAATAAAACTGAAAGAATTATTGCACATTTTCACAATTTTTCAACTAAAACCTTTAAAAATCAGAGTTTTTAATACATTAGACGGGCCATACAGCCTTAGAGGCATTACCCTGCATTCAAACATAACAATATTTCTGAATTGCAATATATGGATAAATAATAACCCATATATATGTTCACATCTTTTCCTGTTACGTTTTTCAGCCAATAATTTTTGGCACCAATCTTAAGATAATTAAAAAAAAAAGAGCTATTGTTTTTCAGATGTTTTAAAATTTCTGAATTGTAAATAGAGAATTGTAAATCTACCAAGAAAAACTTTAGAAAAATCTTCAAAAGAAGCAATTATAAGAGCAGAGACATCTGAAAGAGCTAATATATGTAGAAGAGTCTGGATGGTGGATTAGGGTGTGATATCTGGGTTGTCTACTCTGCCACAGGTAACTGTGGGGTCAGAGCCTCTGTCACAGTGTGACACTATCTAAGGAAAATCATCTCTTGTTTCCCAGCTCATAGATCTCCATCCCTGCTGTCCCTTTCAGCTGCCGTACAGGCCTCTCCGTCTCCGGGCACACTGATGTCTGGGCTTAGTAACATGAATGTTAAAAATATATTGTTTGGCATTTTATATCATTTCCTGAAGTCCTCGGATTCCTGAAGTCACCAAGTGACTTCACCTAGTACATGCTCAACTCTGCGACAGTTTTATCTGCCCCAACCCCAATCCTGGTATTCTTACTTAAGCCTACAAAGTCCTTATAAATAATCCTTAAGGTTGTGGTTTTACTCTGGGTTTACTAATAGCATGTCTGTCTTAAAAGAATTCTTCTGTCCTTAATTCTTAGTATGAAACAAATGTCTAGAATCTAGATATATCTTGAGATTCTTGTACTTTTGCATAATAGCCACATTTTTTCCTTTTGATGAGGATAAAAACCAGAGAGACATTTATTTGGCAGCAATAAGAGAATGAAATCTTGAAAAGTAAAATACTGAATTGCTGTGCAATTGGAATACAAAGACTGCCCTCAGAGCACAGGAGGCCAAGAGACATTTTTGCCGTAATGCTGAGTTTGGAGCCTGAAAAATTGAATTTTATTTCCAGTTACACTACTTTATAGGATGGTCATGCAGTTTTTTTTTTCCACTTAAAATAATAGCTTCTGCCACACAATCTTGTGTGATATAAATCACCTGAATATGCTGTGTAAAAACAAAATCATACAAATAATTTTAATTATAAAGAATATGTGAATATTATTGTTAATATTAAAGTAAAGGACATTGGGGTTTGAGCAGAGCAGAGTCACAAAGTTGTCAGCGCTTGAGCTGAACAATGCAGCTTGAAAGAACACTGAGGTAAACAAACCAAAGATTGGGATGGGTATTACCTGTCTGCCAAGGAGTAGGAAGTTGATATGGGGGAGGAGACAAGTGGGTCAAATCAGAATGTCTTCTTGGTCCACTGTGCTCAGACGTGAATTATCCTGGGTGGAACTAAATCGTCAAAACTCTGTTTGTGAAAGAAAACTTTGGAGAATTCTCTGCAACACCCTAGCAACCCTGCCCCTGAAGCTACTTCTTCACAAAACAAATATTGTTAATAAAGGTAATCTGGAGATTTCTTATTTTAAAGCATCAAGGTTACTCTGCAATTCTACAGTGACACGTACACCGTAAGGTAGAGGCAGCTAATAGCTGTTCAGCAGAAAATTAGCAACCCAAGAAACAAGGGCAGATAAAAAAGAAGCTGTAGTCGTGAGAAAGAGCCAGCACTGAAGAGTGGCTATGAAAGCAGAATTTGGGTGGGGGGAGGGGAACCTGCAGCCTTGGGGACACACATGGCCTTCTGGATCCTTGAGTGCAGCCTTTTGACTGAATCAAAATTTTATATAACAAACCCTTTTTATAATAATTGACTGAGTCAGTGTGTAATTTTATAGATTAGACTGATTGGAGGTATACAAAGTAGCAATTAGAACTGAAAAAAGTATCATTTTCTCTAGAAAAAAAAGGATGGAAGAAAAGAGAGAAGTACAGAGAGTGTATCTGTAAAGATCTAGCACTCTCCAGAAGTGACTTTAGGAACTGAAACCAATGTTTAAGATTTTCCTGGATATTTTAATTACAAATTTCTATGTGTTTACCTTTGTACACACATGTAAATTTTCCTTTTTCCAGCCCAAGGAACAATCTCCATTGCTCTGTGGGAAATTTGACCTCAAGGGGACTAAATTTTTCTTTAGCTGAATCCAAAAATAAAATGTTCATTTTTTTTCTGGTCTAAAAATTTCTGTTTTAAAGCAGATAATTAAATTATTCCACTAAATTAAAGTGATTTTATTATGCTTTTATCATGCAGAAGAGTCTATGACATTGTTTTAAATGTTTGAGGGACATAGACACAATTGATTTAGCTTGTAATTGTATTTAAAAATAAAAATACTTTGATAAGCTCAGGGAAAAATTACTTTCTTCTTCCCACTCCAATAATTCAGTTGAAATGGCTTCAGGACCAAAATGCCCGTAGATGACACTGGCCCAATTCTATTTTCTACCTACACATTATTTATGTCCCAACAGCTTTCTCCCTTCAATCCCTCCTTCCTCTAAGACCCCTCACACGACGGCCCTGTGAACCCTTGGATCGGAGCAACTGGAATGTAGCCTGGCGGATGGTCTTGGTCTTCAAGCTGTAAATGATAGGGTTCAGGACAGGTGGTAAGAGCAGATAAATATTGGCCAAAGTGCTACAGAGCACCCTGGGGGTGGAGCGGGAGAGACGGTGTGCCAAAGACAGGCTGAGCATTGGCACGTAGAAAACAGTGACAGCACAAATGTGACAGACACAAGTGCTGAGAGCTTTTTGTTGTTTCTTTGGGGTCACGGTGCTCAGAACAGTACGGAGGATCAGGATATAGGAGAAAAGAATAAACAGTAAGTCAGTACCATTCATGTAGAGCTGAAGAAACATGCCACAAAAACTGCTGAACCAGGAGTTGGAACGTGTGTATTTGATCACATCTGGGTGGTAACAGAATGGGTGGGAAAGCTCTTGACCTCCATAAAAAGACAGAGTCTGTATGGCTACAACCATAGGACATAAGGAAAGTACCTGTCGTATGCAGACAACCAGAACAATTACCAGGACCATCATGTCTGTGAGGACAGTCGCATACTTCAGTGGGTTACAGATAGCCATGAAGCGATCAAACGCCATGGCTACCAGCACTGAGGACTCCAGCCAGGAGAAGACATGCAGGAAGAACATTTGAATGAGGCAAGCTTTGAAGCTGATCTCCTGGGCATGAAACCAGAGGACACCGAGCACAGTGGGAAGGGTTGTGATGGTCAGACATAGATCAACAACTGAGAGCATGGAGAGGAAATAGTACATGGGTTTGTGAAGATTCCGCTTAATAATAATAACAAAAAAGATCATGCTATTTCCCAAGAGGGCAATGATGTAGAGACAGCAGACAGGAATGGAGATCCAGATATGAGCACGTTCCAGCCCAGGGAACGCAGTGAGGAGAAAGTTTGAGGAAGAGGAGGTGGTGTTATTGAAAATTAGCATGGTGGATTGAGGACACACCCTGAAAAGAAAAATAAGAAGAAGAATGTCTGTTAGAAAGATTCTTTTTTTTTTTTAATTCCTAACTCTTTCATAAACCCTTCTCAAATTACACCGTGATTTCTCTTTATTCAAAATCCCCAGTCTCATTACTGTACCTATTACATAATTCTATGGATTTCTGAATTTTTCCTGTTAGAACCTGGCCCCATTCTCCTGCCTCTACTCACCTTGATTATAAACATCAGTCTCCCTAGACTTATCCCCACGCTATTGCTCAGACTAGCCCTGGATTGAAGTAGAAAATGCTTACAGACTTAGGTCGTACACATGCACACATATTAATACTAACAAAACAACAACAGTCACAATTACAACCTGATGGGTCTTTGTATTAAGTCTCCCAGTTATATAAGTTGCTCCATAATGAATGAAGAATCACGTATGAATCACTCCGGGCACCTGTGATGACATAGTCCATGGTGTCCTTGCTGGAAGCTGGCCTGGAATATTGTATCCAGAGTATCCTTGTACCTGAGTTATGGGCCACTCTTCCCTCATAGCCTCTTATTAGATGTCTCCTTTTAGTATCAGGTTTTTTCTATTCTATTTCCTATATTGGAATAATTCCTGTAATTCTTTCCTTCTCCACTCCACATATTTATGGGACTCAGATTCATCTTGGCCTCTATTTCTGTTTTTCTGTGTAGTTTTCCAGGTCTACCAAAATAACTGGACCTATTCTTTCCTCCATGTTATACTGTGGGATTCTTGTTTCTACTCTTTCCTGTGGATATCCAGCATGTGACTTTGAACCTTCTCACTATGAGTAGGCCACAATAGTGAATCCTGTCAAGATGTCCAAATATTATTCCAGAATATATAATTTCAGACATCCTAATATAGGCTTAGTAGGTAAGCCTGGAAAAAAACACCCTGCCATATCTGCTTCTACCTCAGTTCTGATATTTTGTTAATTCATGGTGATAATTCAATGAAGCACCGTGGAGACCATGTCTTACTCCATTGGTTATATTATGATGGAGCCATGACACATTCACCATTTAATGTTATTGGGAGGATCCAAGACCAAATTCTGGATTCCTCCTTCCTTGTTTTGTTTCCATTGTGAATAAATCAATTGTGCCAATATAGAGAATTATCCTAAGTTAGCCAAATTCTCTCTTTTGGGGCCTGCCTACGTCCAAGGTGAAATGTACTTTAGGTCACATACAGATAGCCATAGTTCAGGTAATGAATGGTTTGGGAAAAATCATGAACAGGATGAAAGTAGGAACTAATGAAAAGGGAGTAACTCAGGGACAGACAGGCCAAGGTGCCATCATAAATTAGAATATCAAGTAGTTCAATGGGTGAGAAAGTCCATAGAATGACAGCTGCAAAGAAAACAGAAATGATGTCATAAGGAAGGTAGGATCTGGGATCTATTAATATTTTAATGTGACCATTTCAATTCTATTCAGGACTTGTTTACTGGCTTCTTGTAAAAAAAAGTCACCATTTGCTAATTTTTAAATTTTCACTTAGGCCAAGTAGTCATCAGGAGGGAGCTAACAAGAAGTGAGTGATATTTGTGGCCAAGTTGCCATGTGGACATTGCTACCCTCAAGTGTCCTCATCTTTCAGTAGTCTAGGCTTCCTGCACTGGTGACAGAATAGATATAAGGAATTTGCATCTGCCAATTCTTGCCTATTTTTATGTAAGGGTAAATATGAAGGAATGTTAATTATTTTTTTCATCCTTCAATTTACTGAAGCTGGTGATAGAAATAGTTACTTGTTATGCCAATGGGGGTAAAACTAATTGCAATTACTCCTATAACTTTCAGTATTATTATATTATACATGTTCACAATTTAGTATGGAAAAAGCCCTAAGAATCACAAAAACTGGTGCCAAATGAGAGATAGATCACAAACATGCTGAATTAAATCAAGCACTCAGACTCTGAATGACAGTTGTAATGCCAGTGGCTGTGCTGAGGGTAAGGGAGACAGAAATGAATGAAAAACAGTTTCTGCATTCAAAATTCTCTCAACCTAGTCGAATTGAATGGGGCAAGAAGCCAAAGCAAAACATTCATGGAGGGCTACTACTTCATGGGGAAATGAGAGAAAATCAAATAGCCAGGCAGGAAAACAGAGGCAGTTGAGATTTCTGCTTCATTCTTCTTCTCAGCTGCATAAACACAGAGAGTAAGAATGAACCTCATTCTCAGTGATAACCATCCAGGAATCTCTCTGCAATACAAAATCTATTGAATATGATAGCACTTTATGTATGCTTTTTATAACATGTTTTCATGCTTGATCACATTTCTTTTCCCCACTAGAATGCTGGTTCTTTCGAAAAACAACACATATGTTGTCTATCTTTATATTTTATCTAGAGACAAACATAGTGATTGGCACATGGTAAATCAAATAATCTACATCGAATACATTGATAAATGGTAGATGTGGTCGATGATAAAGAGATGGATGAGGCCAGGTGCGGTGGCTCACGCCTGTAAACCTAGCACTCTGGGAGGCCGAGGTGGGTGGATCGCTGAAGGTCAGGAGTTCAAGATCAGCCTGAGCAAGAGCGAGACCCCGTCTCTACTGAAAAATAGAAAGAAATGATCTGGACAACTAAAAATATATATATATACATAAAATTAGTAGGGCACGGTGGTGCATTCCTGTAGTTCCAGCTACTCGGGAGGCTGAGGCAGAAGGATCGCTTGAGCCCAGGAGTCTGAGGTTGCCGTGAGCTAGGCTGACACCACGGCACTCTAGCCCAGGCAACAAAGTAAGACTCTGTCTCAAAAAAAAAAAAAAAAAAAGAGATGAATGAAGTATAATTTGAGCCTGTAAGTTTTGAGAGAAAAATAAACCATGGATAAATTACTTCCCTAGACACCATAAAAAGAGTGATCATCCTCTCTCCCTAATTGGGAGAGGAAGGAGGGTAGACTAAGAGAAGAGGAAAATAATTAAGATTATTTGTGTAAGTAATACATTTGGATAGCTACTTTATATATAATTTTATATAATCCCTGGAAAATTTTGAAGTAGATATTTTTCTCCTGTTTTAAAGAAAGAAAATGAACCCAGGAAGATAAATAATATATCCAAGGTAAAATAGATAGATATAGATTGAAAATTCAAAACCAGATTAACTAACTTCGAAGTCCATTATTTTTATTACACTTCCAAGTATCAGAAAGGACAGGCTAATGAGACAGCATGGATAGTTGGACATTGTTATTTCCTTCTTTTGAAATACAAAATTTTTGAATCACCTATTATATATCTATATGATACAGAAAAGGGATAGAGATGAGAAATAAGTAAAATAGAGAACTATGTCCTCATGTCTCATCTAAAGAAGAATGTTTGTGGAGTCTAATGTGTTTACAAATATGTGTCAATGTCTGCATGTGTTTGTGCTGTGTGTGTCTCCATGTGCTGATGTATGCAGAGGGGAGTTTTGGTGTGGAAGAGTAAATAAGAGATAAGATGCCCACAAAGCAGATACTATTTATCTTCTGTTCTTTGAATGATATTTCACAAAGACCAAAAAAGTGACATAGGATAATGTCGAGGGGGGGATAGGAGGATAGGATACAGTGGCTCATCTTACTGCTGGAGGAATTTTTCTTGGGGAATAGAAGAAGTAGCAGAGGTCTTTCTCTCTGTGAGCTCATACACTCTGGAGCTCATACACTCAGTTGTAGGTCAAAGTTGAGTGCCTAGGTTCATCAAGGTTTTCTCTACATTGCCCACTAACCAGAAGAGTAGGCTAGTGCTTTCTATCTTCAAGTACAAATCTTCATCTGACCATCCAGGCAGAAGGTAACATCTGCCCATTCATATACAAAAAGACCAGGTGAGATGACATAGATAACATCCAGCTCAGTAAGGTAGTGATCCAAAAGTCAGCATAACTGTTTTCTGGCATCAATAATGATATATACCCATCCTTTTCATTGACCAACCCCTAACTTCTGTTTATTTCTCAGCACTGAATTCAATTTTCTCCATGATTCAGAACCTGCCCTGACAGATCCAGGACATGTTAAACTGAAACTACCCTCTGCTTGTAAATCTTTGCACCACTTAATTTTAGACCTCTCGTTTCATTCTCAATAATGATGCACAGATGATATTGTAATTTATATATGCAAATATCATCCTTTTCTGTCAGGCGTGTGAGTTCCTTAAAAGTTTAGGCGTGCATGTTTTTCGTCTCTCAATACTAGCTACTAAAGCAGGATCTGGAATAATAGAAAGCTTCATTTAATCATGTTGATTGATTCCTGAACAATTATGACCAGAGAAAAAGAGTTCTGAGAACTATCTCCTTTTGTCTTTCTCCCTTCTTTTCCCTCCTGTCCTTTATTTCCTACCTCAGTTTCTTCTAGTTTCAATTACACCTCTCCATTTCTTTATCTCCACTTGTAGCTTTCATCAATCCATTGCATTGTTTTCCTCCCATCCTTCTCCTACCATTCCTCATTCTTCAATTCCTCCCCTTTGGTCTTTTCCCATATTTTAACTCATCTTACCTGGTCACATCAGCGGGAAACACGACTGACTTCTCTTCAGCCCTATCACAGAGCGGGAATTAAACCAGCTCCCAAGGGTGGGGGATTTATAGGTAGCCTAATAGAGTTCCCAGGCAACAAGGCACTTTTTCTTGATTAGTAAGTGTACTGATTGGAGTAAGAGCGATGGGACCCATATGCATATGTTCCTCTACAGCAGCCGAGACACATCTCTGAGACACGGGTTCAAACCATCCTCCCAGGCCCAAGCAAACCTCATCTATCAGGGGCTTGGAGCATAGCCCTGGCCCTGGGGGCTGACAGTAATGGGCATCTGTGCAAACTGCCTTCCTGGGTCAGATAACTGCAACCATTCCTCTTCCCCCAGCCTTAAGCTACAAATTTTCAGCCAGAGAGGCTCCCTGAATGTCAGAGCTGGATTAGGAGAGGGCAGAGTCATCCCTCTTCTTGCCATATGTACTCTTTCTAACAGCTCTCATTATCCCCCTGGCCATTCCCAAGTGCCTCCTCTGACACAGGAGCCCCTCTTAAGAAGCCTTCCTACTTGAGTCATGTCTGCAACCCACCTACCTTCTAAGCATGTCACCTAACATTTGACGAACACATAATATGTGACAGAAACTTCACTATACCCTTTAAATACATTGTCTTATTTATTCATGCTCAACCCTATGAGTTAAGTATTATTATCCATTATTTCACAGCTGAGGAAAGTGAAACTCATGGAGGTTTTGAATAACTTTACCCATCTAAATGTTAGCAAGTTACAGAATTGGTATGCAAGACCATGTCTATCTTACTTCAAAGATCTTGATCTTAACCAATATGCCATACTACCTTCTATAGTCAACTCTTTCCATTCATATCTTCAGGAAATATGGTTTAAATACATGGTCCTCAATCTATCCATCTTATGCATTGTTTGATTCCCAACTGCATGCCCACACCTGGTTTAAGCTTCATTTTGACCAGAATGCAACTTTCCAGAGTATGTAGTAAATCTGAATCAATCATCCTACTCATGTCTAAACTTCCCTTGCTTTTTATACTCTTGAAACACTTTCCCATCTATGTACTCACTATATCCATATAGGGCACACTGAGCAAAAGTGCTTATCTCAATGACATCTAGAAATATTGAGTAACTCCATGAAGTTACACATTAAGTAGTGCTCAGATCCATACATAAACAACACCACTTTCCCCCAGTTCCCGTGAGCTAAGATGAGTGACTCCGAAAATTTCAAATGAGATTTATGAATACTAAATGAGAACATAAAGGATAGGAAGCATGAAATCAATATTAATAAAGTACAGTTTTCATTAATTCAAAAATATATATTGAGTGTCTACCATATGTTCTAAACTATGTTAAATATGTGGGATACAATGAAGTGGAATAAAAGGGTCACTATTCTTATGGAGCATATAGAATAGCAGGGGAAATATTTCTTAGATAATCACAGTACAATGTGAGAAACTGCTACATATTAAAAAGCAGATCAGAAAAGCCCTCTGGACAGAAGTAAGGTTGAAATTGGCATCTAAAGCACACAAAGAATTTCTAATTTTTCCAACTCTCTGAATGCACCATGCTCTCATATTTTACACAGGATTTTTTTTTTTTAGTTTTTTTTTCTTGTTTTCAACCATTCACACATGCTCAGCTCATATTTATAAAATCTATAAATAAATATATAAATAAAGGCAAAATAAAATAAATGTCTTATGTTCTGCACTAAATACCTTAGTGATTATAATGGAGCGAGAACAATCTGGAAATATTTTTCACAAAACTTATTAAACAATGGCATACAATGGAAAACTACTCAGGAATAAAAAGGAATAAACCACTAATACATGCAACAACATGAGTGAATCTCAATGCATTATGTTAAGAAGCCAGCCAGACACAAAAGACTATATATTACTATTGCAAGGTTTCATTTGCATGACACTTCTGAAAGAGATTATAGGGAAGGAGAACCACTAAGTGTTTGTCAGAGGCTGGGTGTCAATAGAGCAGTTGACTACAAATGAGCAACATTAAGAAATTTCGGGGAGTGATAAAATTGTTCTATATTTTGGTCTCGGTGGTGGTTACATGACTCTATGTATTTGTCAAAACTTAAGAACTATATACCAAAATGAGAAAATTTTATTGTGTATAAAAGTTTAAAAACTTGTTATATATGATTTTGAAGTATAAAAGTCCATATTTTTATCAAGCTGCAATAAATTATTGCTTTCATCAAAACCATTATGCAATGTCATCTCACAACCTATTGTATTTGTACTGTTCAATACAGTAGGTAATAGCCACATATGACTATTTAAATTTACATTTAAATTAACTAAACTTAAATAAATTTAAAATTCAGTTCCTCACTTGTGTTAGCAATGTTTGAAGTGCTGAATAGCCATGTGTGGCTACTGGTTACTGTGCTAAACAGCAGAGATATGAAACATTTCCATTTCTTCAGGAATTTCTGTAGAACAGTGCTTCATTTGATACTCTTCTCTGACTTGATTACATTTGCACAGAAAGAGTAGATGCTGTTAGGGGCCAACCCTGCCCCCACAGAACGCCTGGATGATGTGCCGCCGGATCTGCTTGGTCTTAACACTGTACACAATGGGACTGAGCACAAGAGGGAGCAGCAGGTAGACATTGGCCATAAATGTGTGTATTACTGGTGACAGATGCTTCCCATAGCGATGAACAGGGTCATGCCGATGAGAGGCACATAGAAAAGCAGCACTGCACAGATATGAGAGAAACAGGTGTTGATAGCCTTGAGCCTCTCTTCCCGGGAAGCAATGCCCAACACTGCCTGGAGGATTAGAATGTAAGACACCAAGAGGATTAAGGCATCTAACACAATAATGAAGATCACAGCCAGCAGGCCACAGATGCTATCGACACTTGTGTCAGCACAGGCAAGCCTCATGGCATCCTGATGGAGGCAGTATGCATGGTAGAGGACATCGGAGTGGCAGAAAGGTAGCCTTTTGATGAGGAAAGGCACAAGGAGCACAGCCCCCACACTCTGCAGCAGGACTGCTGCTCCAATTTTGCCAGTGATGCCATGGGTAAGAATGGTAGTATAGTGCAAAGGAAAGCAGATGGCCACAAAGCGATCAAAGGCCATGGTCACCAGAACATCTGACTCTACTCCCTCAAAGGTGTGGATGAAGAACATCTGGGTGATACAAGCATTAAAAGATACTAAGCGCCAGCTGAACCAGTGAACACTGACCATGGTGGGCATGGAAGATAGTGAAAGGCTAAGGTCAGTAGCAGCTAACATGGACAGAAAATAATACATAGGCTCATGGAGACTTCGCTCAACTTTGATCACAACAAGGATGGTGACATTGCCCAGGAACGTGGTGCTGTAGAGAAGACAGAGGGGCAAGGCCATCCACAAGTCCTTCTCTGGCATTCCTGCAATCCCAGTCAGAGTGAAGAAGGTCTGGTGGTTATCAGTAGTTTGGTTGAGCGGTGACATAGTGGAACAGTGGTTGACTAGACAAAAAGAGAAGAGCTTATTAAGTCAAATATCCTTCAATGGAATCAGTGACAATAAGTATTGAGATGATAGCAGTGCTGGGAAAACTGGATAGCTACATGCAGAAGACTGAAACTAGACCCCTACCTCTCACCTCTCACAAAAATCAATTCAAGGTGGATAACAGACTTAAATCTAAGGCATGAAACCTTAAGAATTCTAAATGAAGATGTTGGGAAGACCCTTTCAGACATTGGCCTAGGTAAGGAATTCTTGAAGAAGACCCCCAAAGCAATCGCCGCAGCAACAAAAATAAATAAGTGGGATCTAATCAAATTAAAAAGCTTCTGCACTGCCAAGGAAACTATCATTAGAGTGAATAGACAGCCCACAGAATGGGGGAAAAAAATATTTGCTCTCTACACATCTGATAAAGGGCTGATAACCAGAATCTATCTAGAACTCAAAAAAATCAACAAGAAAAAATCAAACAACCCCATCAACAAATGGGCAAGGGAAATGAACAGAAACTTTTCAAAAGAAGACAGAATAATGGCCAGCAAACATATAAAAAAATGCTCAACATCTCTAATCATTAGAGAAATGCAAATCAAAACTACAATGAGGTATCACCTAACCCCAGTGAGATTGGCCTCTATCAAAAAAACACAAAACAACAAATGTTGGCGAGGATGTGGAGAGACAGGAACACTTCTACACTGCTGGTGGGACTGCAAATTAGTGCAGCCTCTGTGGAAAAGAATTTGGAGATACCTCAGAGAGCTAAAAATAGAAATACCATTCGATCCAGCAATAGCACTATTAGGCATCTACCCAAAGGAGCACAAAACATTCTACGATAAGGACATCTGCACCCGAATGTTTATGACAGCACAATTCACCACTGCAAGAATGTGGAAACAACCCAAGTGCCCGTCAATCCATGAGTGGATTATCAAAATTTGGTATTTGTTTACAATGGAATATTACTCAATTATAAGAAATGACAGTGATCTAGCACCACTTACATTTTCCTGGATTAAACTTGAGCCCATTATCCAAAGTGGGGCACCACAAGAGCAAAAGAACGGGTTCCATTTGTACTCACCATCAAATTGGTATTAACTAATCAACACATAAATGCACATATCAGAACAACATCTATTGGATGCTGGGGAAGGGGGAGGGCGGTGGGAGGAGGGGGGAGGAGGGAGGAGGGGACGGGTATTTGTATACACAAGGAGTGCAATGCGCACTACCCGAAGGATGGACATATTTGAAACACGGACTTGGGGGGAGGGGAACCAGGGGCAACACGCGTAACCTAGGCATCTGTACCCCATAATATGCTGAAATAATAAAAAAAAAAAAGAGAAAATAGCTAAAATATTTTTCTAACACATCCATGTTCACAGCTTGATACAAAAACTGATGGATATGCCTCATGAGGCAAGAATTCTGTTACTGTTCATAAAATACTAAAATACTTAATAGAAAGGAAAAAAAACTTCAATCAACATTTGCCCCTAAGAGGGATATAAATCATTTGAAAACATCAAGGAGTTAGCTGTCTTGCAGACTGCAATAATAAGGAAAAATTTGGCATCATGCAGTTATGTGGATAATAAACACGAACATCAACAACCATAAAGAAAATGTTAGTGAATACAAACCTAAGGGCTGTTCCTAAACACAGATGTGCAGATGTATACATGTGTGTATGTATGTATGTGTATCTTGGTTGTGATCTTAAGTTGTTGTGATTTAGATATGCTTCTTTCCCTCTTTGGCACTTAATTTCTCCACCTGCATGATGTGGGATAGAGGAGAAAAGATACCCTTTAAGGAATTTAAAGCTCTGATCTCCTGCTTTCCTGGGTCTATGGGTAGTAAAAGGACCTGAGCTTGAAACATGTGAGGGAGGAAGAAGTCACCTTGGCCCCCAAGGAACCTTAGAAAGACCCACTATGGTTGGCAGAATAACAGCCCCTAAGAATGTCCACATTGGAATCCTTGAAACCTGTGAATATGTTACCTTGCTTGACAAAAAGGAATTTGCATATGGAATTAAAGTTAAGGACATTGAGATGAAGAGCTTATCCTGGATTATCCAGGTAGGTCAAATCTAATCACGTGAGTACTTAAAAGTGAAGAATCTTTCCCAGCTGCAGCAAACCACAAAGATGGCAGCATAAGAAGGACTGGACATTACTTGTTGGCTTTGAAAATGAAGGAAGAGTACCAGAAGTCAAGGAATGTGCATGTCCTCTAGAAGCTGGAAAAGAGAAGAGGAGAGAATTTTTCCAGAGTCTCCAGAAAGGATTGAAGAAAGGAATTCCTAAAACCTTGGTTTCAGCCCAGTGAGACCCACGTTCTGACCTACAAAATTGTTACATAATAAATACATGTTACTTTAAAACACTAAGTTTGTGGTAATTTCTTATATCAGTAGTAGAAAATGAATACCTGGGAACCAGAGTAGAGTTGCTTTAGTCCCTTTTCTAAAACATTCCAAGTCTTCCTATTGCTGGTCTCAATTACTCAGGAATTGTCAAAAAGACATTTTTTTTTCTTTATTGCAATTAGATTTCTTTGTGCTAGGGTGCATCTGGAAAGGGATTCTGAGATCCATTTTTCTCTTCCTTAGGGAACAGAATAACCTCTTAATATTGCAAGTTTTGCAATTAACAGCTGGATCAGCTAGACGAAATTCATTCATAAAGAGTTTCCAAAAAGAGAGGTTCAAGCATTGTTCAGATTAGTAAAGTCAGTACCCTTGGTGTTGAAAATTCATCTGGACTTCTTTCCCTGTCCCTCCATAGAGAACCCTTATTCTCTTCATTCCATGCTACTATGTGTCTGCTCTAATAAACTCCATCTTGAGTTAGCAGCAATTACATTTCTCACTATAACTTTAAGTAAGGCCTGTGTGGATCTATGGGCTATTCTAGACATTCATACCCACTGCTCACAGTGACAAAGATCAAGATTAAAATCTTAGTACCACACAATCAATTCTCTTCCATTTCAATTTTGTGTTATTGTCTTTAAGAATATATATTCAAACGTGCATCTGAGACAATCACCTTTTTAGGTCAGTCTTGCCACAGCTGACATAGGGCTCAGGATTATAAGAAAGAACAGTGCTGTAGTGGCTCTTAACCTTGTTTTTATCATGACCCTTTAGAGAATCTCATAAAGGGTCTGCCAGGTAAGAATGTGCATAGACACACACACACACACATAAATTCAAGCAAAGTTTTGCACAAATATTAAGTGAATTTACATTTTGTTGAAAACCATCATGGACACAAGTTAAGAATTCAGACTTAAAGGATTTTTTTTAAAAAAAAACATGAAATAGGAACCTGGTTCACAGAAAGGAACAAAGCCACTAGATAAAATTCAGAGCAGACACAAAAGACAGAAAGTATGAATGCTTGAGAGTGAATGGAGACAGAAAAGAGTTATCCGAAATTTCTTGGGAGTCAGTGGTTTAGTGCTGCATTGCCCAATATGGTAGGAACTAGACATGTGTGCCTATTTAAATTTAAACTAATTAAATTAAATTAAATTAAAATTTCACCTTAGTTGTACCAGATATATTTTAAGTGTTCAATAGCCACATGTGGCTAGTGGCTACTGTATTAGAATTGGAGAGTACAGATGTAGAATATTTTTATCATTGAAGAAAATTCCATTGAAACTTGAAAAGTCGGGGCTGCAGACTGCCAAGTTAAAGGATAGCAACATCCTAGCTGACCTCTTGACAAATATTTGGTCCAGTTGGATTTGAGGGTCTGTCACTTATGTACTGCATAACATCTGTCTCTCTTTACCTATATCTCTTTGTCTCTGTTTCAGAAATTTGAAAAGGAAAATAGCTTTAAAACTAAAGACTCTGGAGAGAGACCATTTGGGTTTGAATCCTGGCTGTATGACCTTGAACAGGTTACTTAATAATCTCTGTGCTCATCCCTTACCTCTCTTTACAATGAAAATAAAAATAATAGTATCTACCATGGAGTTGTTAAAAGTCTTCATTAGGACTATTGATAGAGCACTTAGATAAGCATTAGGGAAATAATAAACACTCACCAAAGTTTAGCTATATTCAATGTTCATCCATTGTCCCTAACTTTGGTAATGTTTGTTTTAGTATAAGCATTATCTCTCAAAATATTTATGTCCTGAAATCTATTTACATGTTATTAGATTTATGTACAAACCTACCCATATATTATTTTCATATTTCCATCAAATTCTGTATTGCTAATATCTCTCCATCCCTCAGCCAATTTATCCCAACACTGAAATCTGTTGCTTGCAAGTGGTGGCTGTTGCAAGGCTCAAGATGTTGGATTCTGTAGATCTGTCTCCGTGACTTTGCACTTAACCATTACTGCTTGCTGTAAAAAATTTAGAGGAAGCAGGTCCTGGATAAATCAGAGATAAAAGGATGGTACATGAGTAGGAGTCAAAGGTGGTTAAAAAAATCAATAATAACAAGAGAATAAGAAGGAAAATTTATTCGGAAGAACTAGCAACCACAAAAGAAACACTGTGCTGGCAATCTAAGGAGCTTAATCCCAAAGACCAGCGGCACTCTTCCAGGATTTAGGGTGAGAATAGCCTACTAGGCTCTTGATTTCTTAAGATCCCATGAACTCAGAAAAAACCTTTTCATGTTTAATTAATTTATTGATTAATTACTTCATATTTATTGAATGCCTACTAAGTACCAGACTTATAATGATTAAACAGAAGACCAAAAAAAGAAACTTTTTTTGTTTGTTTGTTTTCCTTCCAAGATCCCTTAGCAAAGAACATATTGAAAACAAGATCAGCAGCATGAATGTACCATATGCCTAGGGCTGAACACAGGTATGCTTTATACATGAGTCAATACGTCGAGCTTGTCTTCTCAGCTGGACTTAGCTTCATTCTGTCTCCCTCAATAATAGCAATAGACCATGGAGAAGATCCGGCCTGAGCTTTCC